AGCAGGTGTACTTACTTTCTTCTCATCTTTTGGAACCTGGAAATCACGTTCTTGCAGATTTTTCCATTTCTGTTTAAAATATTATATGATGAAAAAGGGTTGTAGTACCTCTCTTGATTTTATAACTGTACTTTAATTTACTTTTGTAGGTGTAGCATCTATGACTGTGCCAGTGTACATCGCAGAGGTTGCTCCACCGCACTTAAGAGGCAGATTAGTCACCATTAACACTCTGTTCATCACTGGAGGGCAGTTTTTTGCAAGTGTTGTTGATGGAGTCTTCAGCTACCTCGCAAAGGATGGATGGAGGTTTGTGAGTCTTCCTTTCTAAAAGCCAAACTGGCATGGTTGTGATTTGGTTGACAACTGTTTTAATCCTTGTTGGTGAACTAGAGTTTACATATGGAGTGGTAAAACTGTACGCTGAAATGGAACTTTAATAATTAACTCTTGCTAAACACTATCCCTACTTCTTTCACTTAGGCTTAATATTCACAATGTGTTTGGTGTTTTTTTTACTTTATTAAACTTTAAAATGGATGAGCAATTCATATGCATAAACAAGCTTGAATGATCATCATGATGTGTATGAAAGTCGCTTGCCTTCTGCATTTAGAGTAATTGCATGCTGATTTTTCAGAAGGCAAATTTCTAGTAAGTATGATGCTGTATGTGCAAAATAGAGGTGTATTTAGAATATTCTTTATCTGAGCAGTAGTAATCCAATCAGAATAGAGGTAAAGGATATTTTAGCATAACTTTATACTTAAAAGCTTAGGTTATAGATGAATATGAATCTCTTACTCTTATTTTCTGAATATTATGTTCTTCCTGTAGACATCACCAGGTGCTTTTGGGCTGGAGTGTTATACCTACTGTATTTATGGTAGTGTGTCATTTAAGAGAGATTATTTCAATGGCTCAGTATTATTTGCAATGCTGATTTGAAAAAATAATTAACAGAAATGTGTAGGAGGAATAATTAATATGTTCCAACTTCTGGAACTTGTGCTTACTCAAATGTGCTCATCTCTTGAAACACCCTTAGGGAAGGGACACGTGGTTGTAGGGTCTTTGATTTCTGTTGCTCCAGCCTGGGATGATATTGCTACTTGAAAATAATTTGAGGAATGCTGCTTCTGCTCCGAATACTTGCAGCATAAATGTGTGTTCTCTGGCTTCCAGTGGAGCTGAATAGGGATTTCTTATTTCACTGATTTAAGTTAGGAACAATTAATTTGGAACTTGGTATACAGATGAACTTGGAAGCTGATCTTTTTATGGTATGTAAAGAAATACATGTTAAAACAAACAATATTTTCTTCTAAATGAATCTATGGTTTAATTTCCTATGTCTGAAGATTCAAGAAGTTTGAGGTTTTTATTTTTTTTGTCCATGTGATTGTTTCCTTTGCCTCTTTTGTAAAAAGATGTCAAAGTTGACCTTCAGAAAAAAGTTGCTTCATGCTGATTTTAATTTTAATTTAAGTTTTAGCTCTGGTTTTTGCTTTCTGAAAATATATTGCTTGCTTTAGCTCAAGTTAAAATAGCATTTTGCATTTTTGTGTGAAGCTTTTCATAACCTTTCATTATTGTGCAGCTGCATTCTCTGGCAGACTATATATCCGCTTATGGAGAAGGGAGAAACAACCTTCACTGATAGAAAACCTAGTTGTAAAGGGTTACTAATCCCTTTCTGCAGTTAAAGAAAAATGCTCAATTTTGAGAAAGGCTAATTGAACATAGTATTGCATTTCTAGGTAAAATACAAACTGAAGCATTAGATCCCTAATGCAAGTTATTCAGTAGTTGCTTTATTATTTAAAAGTAATTTGTAGCCTAGAAGTAGTTTGCTGGTGTAATGGCTCCCTGTGCATGGGGCTGAATGGGAGGGATGGACAAATAAAGACAGTCACTAAGAAGTGGAGCTCTGAGTCACTGCTGCAGACTTTCTGTACTTTCTGTTGAGGCAGACTTTTCAAGTTTGGTGGGTGGGGATTCAGCGAGAGGAAGCTTTTACAGATGTGAATCTGGGGTTTTTTTTCCCATTAGTGGGCTGACACATAGGAGGTAAGAATGCGTTTGTAATTTGTGTGTCAGTAAATACTAGCATATTGGAAGAAAAATACAAGCTAATAAAGTATCTGACAAGTACTGATTTTATTGGAGCTGTGCTTTCTGTTTAATTGGTCAGATAAATGAAGGTGTTCCCTAGCTTAAATTGTTGTAGCTTGAAACCAAACTTCTAGACTCCTTTATCAGTCAGACAGACTACATTGTAGTATAGGATGTATCGGTTTTCAAATCAAGCAGTGACACAGGATTGACAAGTGCATTTGTATGTAAATGGTTATTTAAGTGAAAAATGTAATTTTGTTACACACATGAAAGTTATCTTTTGATATGTTAATTTATAAATATTTTTAGCTAAAGTGGAAGATTAGGTGGAAAGCAACAATAATTGTCAAATGTAGATTTCACCTTTTTGTAAAACATTGATGTTTCAATATGCCACTACACCTTAAAAGAGTGAGGTTCCCACCCAGTGAAATACTGCACAAGTTCTCAGAACTTCTACATTGCTGCAACTTACTCTTCTATTTGGAACAAAAAATAAACTACTCTGGTATAAATCAGGCCTTCTAACCTATTTGAACTGAGTAAAATTAAAATGTAGAATCTGTGGATGAGTAAGTCTAGGAGGCTGGGTGTTTGATCAGAGATGTGTGAGGTGCTGGCTTTTGCAAATCTCCAACTGTGGACATTTCCACAAATCAAGACAACTTGTTCAGTTGTTCAATTGCTTGTACTATGACAAATTGTTTTCCCTCATCTTTGAACCGAATTTTCCTTGTAGCAACTTGTGACTATGGACTCTGCCCTTTCGCAGTGTACATCTGAGAAGAGTGGATCTCCGTCTTCTCTCATTTTCAGTTGTAAAAGATTTAGTTGGATCTCCTCTTGATCGTCTCTTTTCTGGTCAACACAAACCCGATTATCTCAGCCTCTTTTGTGTCATACACCCCAGTTATTCCTGGTTTGTAGCTCTTTCTCGTGTTAGTGGTCCTAATCTTATAGATGCAGCATGGTTTGTTGAATATTGAGGAGTTGCTGTTCCTTGCAGCCTGCTGGCTCATGCCGGGTAACTTCTGCTAATGCAGCAATGCTCTGGGTTGTGTGTAAGTCAAGTACTGGTTCTACTGGAGCGAGGGGAGTGGAATAGGGTGAAACTATTGATGATGCATTGGGCAGAAACTGAAGCTGTCCTAGTGGTGAGGTATCTGGGGATTCTCAGCTGCAATGCTGGAGCTCTTAATTGGGAATTGCATAGTTTTATGTCCTAAGCTAGTTTCCTGGAACCTAAGACTGAGCAGGGAAAAGTACAGATGGTCTCTCACCTGAAAAGACTGGCCAGCAAACACATGGGGAGAAAACACAGATGTTCAATCCTGAGTCATCACATGTAAGAAGAAAAATCAGGGCAATTATTGTAGCTTTTAGTGATTGACTGGCTAACTGTTGGAATGCTACAAAAACCAATAAGGAACTTAGTTCTACTCAGCTATGCTTTTTCCTGGAAATGCTGGATATTAAATAAAAATAAACCAAAGAAAACAAATATTTAATCTGACTCCTATGTAAGGTTAGTTTTATAAATCCTGCTAATGCCATCTTAATTATACTGCAGCAATATATCTGAGAAGGAGAAATGGTATGGCAGACTTATTAAATTTCATACTGGATTTTTTTCAGGTCTGCTAGACATCTGGCTTCAAATGCAAAATCTTGTACTGTCTATAGGAAAGAACTATATTAGATTTCTGAAAGGTGGCTCACTGCATGAAATGTCTAAAATTGCCTGCTTTTACTCTAAATTGTTTATATCTAAGTTGCTTGATCTGGAAATGGCAGCAACTCTTGAACTTGCAGTGGTTTTATGCTCTCAACTGAACATTTCCTTCTTGCCTGCTCCCTGCACTCAACTTTGACAGGAGACATGTTGACTGGAAACTGACCTCAATGAGTGAGCACTTTCTGTACATTTCTTTTTTCTCTTACTTGTGATAAACAATCCAATAGAGTCCAGCTGGTAGCTTTAACAGGGTGGATCAAGCTTTCAGGAGCATCAGTTGATTTTGCCTGCAAAGATGATTGCACGTACTCAGTTGCTTAGTTCTGGAGGCTTGGCTGCATTTAAGGGACTGAAGGGCTTTGGAGGAGCAGAAATTAGGTAATTTTGAGCATAAAGGACTAAATCTGTTTATTTAGATTCATTAAAAGACTCTTTTCCTTGTAGTTTAACAGAGTACAGCAGTTCTGGTTTTAATCTCTATGGTTTTGTTCTACTTTTAAGTTGTAATAGAAAAGGCTTTCTAAATACCACTCAAATGCACATACTGACTGTACAGTGTAGTGAGCATCAGTGGTGAATGTGTAAAGTTGATTCAGTAAACAGCTACCAGAACGTTTGTGGAAAGGAAAGAGCACAGGAAGAAATATGGACATTAGTGCGTTAGTGACACTTCTTTGATATGTTGGCTAGAGGCTACTCAACTAGTAATCTTCCCACAAGCTTGGTATTTTGAATTTCTTTTATTCCATCTGCTTTTCATTTTTTTTTAAATACTGATGATGAGCTATGCTAGTCTTAAAGTGTTAGAAAAATAAAATACTTGCTCAAAGATTTCTTTCTAGACCAAGATTTACTTGTATGACCCTTGGAAATTTTTGCTGGTTTTAGGAAGAACTTGAGGGCTCATTTTAGGAAGACTGGCCAGCATGCACATTGTCACAGGTGGGAAAGGACCTGCCGATCTGTGGAGAGATGTCCCACAGAGGGTTGGCAGTGGAGAGTTGTCCTAGACCTGTCAGAGGATGGCCATCCTCTTTGCATTCCCCTTTGGCTGCTTTCTTTGTTGAGTTTACAAATGTCTTGAAGAACATAGTAGAAAATATTTTTCCATTTCCTTCCAGAATGCATTAGGACTTGACATATATTTGGTTCATTGCCCTGAAACAAGGTTTCCATTAATGGTTGTGCTCTCTTTCCATCGCTGTTAGCAATCCCATTTCCTAGCATGCTTTATAAAAACATCCAGGTGAGAGACTGCTGAGTTATCTGTGTGAAAGTATCCTGGGGTATGAAGAGAGGAGAGATTAGCAAATCTGCCTGATCTCCTGGCTGATGCCAAGGTGTGGACCTGTTTATGAGTACAGGCTACCTCAGTATTCAGTCTGAGGGCTAATTTCTGGAGGTGTATTAATAATGATAACTGCTGATATGAAATGTGTGATAGCTGCAGTAATGTGCAGGTGACATCATTGAAGTTTCTAATGGCAGTGAAAAAATATTTCAGCGAAGCACGTTTCACAATTGTGAAAAAGTTAGATTTAAAAAGCAGAACAAAATTATACATGGTTTTGCAATTCTTGTTGCTATTGTAGTGTTTTATTGATGGAATATAAACATATGAAGTTTATAGATGAGGACCACCCATGAAAGTTGTTGGTATGCTTGTCTTCCACAGTCTTTTCTCCTCCCTTTAGCTGGAGCAAAAATCATGGTATCTGTGGGTGTTGTCACAGGTGTCAGTGCTGATCCTTGGAAGCATAACTCTTCTGCCATAGGTAATTCTCTTTAGTAAAGATCTAGCCTTAATGCTGTATATAATTGTCTTCCCCATGGCATCTAAAATGCAGCTTTGATTTAAAACCTAACATTGCAGCTGGCTGAAAGGTTAAGAGCACACTGTCTAAAGGATCTGGTGTAAATTAGTTTGCTGCTGAAATTAAATTTTTCAGTGTTTCTGCTTATAGTCAGAAATTTTCAAAAGTAAAACCAGTCATCTTCTTACAAAAGAGGCATATTCCTTGGTCACATCTCTGTGTATACATATTACTGATGAAATTAAGCATTTTTCATTGAGTGGTTTTGGTGTGGGTTTTTTTCTTTTTTTTTTTTTTTTTTTTTTTTGGGTGGGTTTTTTTTTTTTTTTTTTTTTTTTTGGGTGGGTTTTTTTTTTTTTTTTTTTTTTTTTGGGTGGGTTTTTTTTTTTTTTTTTTTTTTTTCTTTTTTTGGTGTGGTTTTGTTTTTTGTTGTTGTTGGGTTTTTATGTTTGTAAAACAAGTAGCAGGATTTCAGTCTCCTCTTTGCCATTAGCAGTACCCATTCTTCTCTGTGCCTTTCCTTTCTGTTAAATCTCTTCTTAATGTCTTCACTGAAGAAGTTTCCAAACTACTAGAATGTTTCAGAGTTTTTATTTAATCTGACTTAGTGTCCTTGGGACCAGTGGCTGTAGGGTCAGTGGTGACAGAAGAATCAACATGTCCTTGAGTATTCCTGGAAGTGAAAATAAGGATCCTGTTTTCTAAAATAATTGCAGAATATGATTCTTTCCTGCTTAACTTCTGGTGATAAAGAATACAATAGAAGGGTTTGGTTGTAAATCTCAGTTTGAGTAGCTGTAACTGAGTCTTCTCGTAGCGTATTTTTGTAGGCAAATAGTAGATATTTATTTGCTTATTTGCAGGTACATGCTGGGCCTGTCAGCTGTTCCAGCAGTTATACAGTTTCTTGGATTCCTGTTTCTTCCTGAAAGTCCCCGCTGGCTCATTCAGAAAGGCCAGACTCAGAGAGCACGGAGAATTCTGTCTCAAATGCGTGGCAACCAGGCAATCGATGAGGAGTATGACAGTATCAAAAACAACATTGAAGAAGAAGAAAAAGAAGTTGGAGCAGGTATGCTGAATGCTTGTTGACCTCTCTGCCTATCAGTGAAGAGATAAAAGTTGGCAGAAGTGTTGTAGTCTGTGGGAATTGGGTGTTTCCTTTTTGTTGTCTGTTTTACTATTTGAAATACCTTATGTACTGGTAGTTTAAAAAATTAACATGTTTCTGTGATCCCACAGTTTTAAATCAGGTTTTGATTTCTTATGTGAGGAAAAAGTAAAGTGGTGTAGGATTATAGGTTTATAACACTTATGTTTATGTGAGATATGTGCTCAAAAAAGTTACTCAGTTTAAGAATGTACATCTTGAAGAGTGGAAATAAAATAAATTTTGGATTCTTTTATCAGTGGACAAGGCCAAACAGCCACTAGGAAGCTCAGAAATAAGATATTTTACATGCCTGAATTATCTAGAGGTCCTGTTCTGGCTGACTAGATTCTAGACAAGCAGCCTCTGGAAACATTTACAAAATTTAGCATTTAATATAGAGATTTGTTCTCAGTAAAGGCAGCTTCTGAAAGTAGTTTTGGTCTGCCCCCAAGAGAATAAGGCATCTAAATAAAATACTTTTTTTACTCTTTTGTATCCTTATGCCATAATTGCTCAAGACTTTATGTATGTACTTATGTTTGTACTTTCAAAGGAAGATTACCATTCAATTGACTGTCCACTATGTATTTTTCCTTTGCTTTGTGCTGAAAGTGTTAACATGGGAATCTGAGGCTCTTAAGAAAGGCTCATCTTAATTCTTGCTTCTTTAAACACCAATAGGAAAATACTGTAACTTCTTAGAATTAATGTAAAAAAAAAAAAAGAAGTTTGTTGAAGCTGATTTGATAAAAACCTGAAGTGCTGTTTGTTCAACAGCTAGAGTTTAAGAGTCCTGTGCTGAGGTTCTTGATCCTAATTAGGAATTGGGCTTTTTGATTCTGTGGAGAGCCACTTAATACCTGGTATTAAAGATTTATGCTTTGTAGAAATAAAAGAAGCAGGTGTTTGATCCAGTCCCTTATTTTTAGTCACTGGGCTATAGGGTAGGACCCTGTTTCTGACTCTAATTCTTTCCCCATGCTGCTGTTTCACTGTTTGTGTGTAAACTCAATGCAGTGTTGTAGGACTGCCAGGACTAACTCCAGCTCATTTGTTGAATCAGTCCTCTCTATGTTTGTTATGTGGACTGGTACACTAATTATGAGGTTGTTAGCTTTCTGGGATGTGTTTATCTCCTGATCCCACCCCCTCCTGAATAATTTGTGTTCCTGGGGTTTAGTTAAATCAAGCACGTTCTTAGGAGTCATCTTTGTTACAGACAATCAGTGTTTTCTTCTCAGGTCATCTACAGCTTCAGAGCTGTCCAAACAGGGCATTAAAAAGTAACATAGTTAAAAGTATATACTGTTCCACATGTTATAAATGCTTAGGAAGTAGGCATTAGATAGTTACAGTAACTCTTGGTTTTTATTATAACTTGGTAATAATTGAGATTCATCCCATTTAACCCAAAGACTTTATTGTAAAAAGGTATGTTGTGTGTCAGCATCAAGACATACATTACGTTTGTTACCTTTCTGTGACTTACTCTAAACGTATTATTAAATTGTAATTAATTTAATTTATTGAAGATTTGTCTGGATCCTCAATATTGAATTTGGCATACATAGTGCAGGAGCAACTTACTATTAATTATTTCATTGCTAGGTGTTCCAAATATTGACTATTCAAGTCAGGGCTTCTGCAAAAACTTCTTGTTTCATTTTGCTACATGGATTTTTTTCTTTGTTTTATATATTCCCGTAGTACTTCTTTAATTAACTTATTCAATTTGTGGCAGGCAATGTTTTAAAACGAGTGATTGTAGTAATTCCTATCAGACACTGTGGATATCATTCTAGTTTTACAAAAAGTTTTAATGACCCTAAACTGAGGGGGGGTGTGTGTGGCATTCAGGGAAGGTTAACTTCAGAGATTGAAAACCATTTGGCTTTCTTTTCTTGAGAAAGAATAGATGTTCTTTTTCATTAATTGATACAAAAGCATCTTTGCTAGTTTCTTAGGGCATAATTTTCTACATGAAAAAAACCCTGTGTTTGACTCCTTCTCTGCAAGGGAGTAAGAGAATGTGACTGTAACATATTCTCCAGTCCCACACTAAAAGCTGTGATGGCTTTTGTAACTATTCTTGTCTCAGAAATAGTGAATTATGGGGGAACTTTATCTGTGTTTTTTAAGCTACTTTCTTAAAGATTTGTAATGTCTGTCATAGAACCAGAGAAGTTAATTGCTTTTCCCACGTGGTCATCCAGCAGCTTCTGTCTTGAAAATAATAAAAATGCCTTCAGCAGCAAACTTCTGTTTCAGAAGTCTTTTGTACCCATGTGGGATGGGTACCTAATAAGTGAATGATTCACTTATCTTTATCCTTTCCAATGCATTCAGCCAAATCACTGCTGCTGACACTGCTTAGCATGCTTATATTATAGCATGTATCAGGAAAAGGATCTATTTGTTGATACTTTCCCCATTACTGGGGAAAAAAATGGCCTTTTTTTGGAAGTCATGCCAGAAGACTGCTTTTGCATGGTTCTGTTCTGTACCTCCAGTGTGACCTGGTGTTGTAACCTTGCATTTTGAGAAGGGAAGGGCAGGACATTGAATTCTGCAGTACTATTACAACAGAGGTCCAGCTAATCATAAGCTTTTAACAACATCCCTATCTCAGATGGTGGGGCTCTAGTGCAAAAGAGAGCTGTTGGTAGGAAAATCAAGATAGAAGGGTCTCCTAGAGAGAAGGGAGCTCCCCAAGCACTGTGTAAGCAGTAGTTTATAGGCACAAAGTGGACTTCCCCTTCAAATATTCTGTGGATCCTGGAGATTCCCCAGTGCTGGACTCAGGCTCTGAAGCCTTAGAGAAGTGAAAAGGGGAGAGAATGGTCAGAAGGGGTTTGCAGCTGAGGGAAGGATCAAAGGCGTTGCTAGGAGAGACTTCCTGGAGTGACTCTTAGCAAAACATGTCTGACTCGCACTGCTGCTGAATGGTGGGTTTTAGTACAGTTAAGGCAGAGGTTTTACACTGCACATTAGTTAACCTGGGTTTAAGTACAGTTAAGGCAGAGGTTCTACACTACACATTAATTAAAAATGGGCAATGAAATCTCAGCAATGCAGGCAGGCACTGACACTGCACCTTAACAGACAGCAGGTATAGATTAAGTAATTTAAGCACCTAAGTGAATTAGGGGGTGGGATTTGTGATGCTTATTGTAGAGCAAGCACTTTGGTGTTAATTTAGCAGTGACGGTTTTGTGTATAATAATTAAGCTATCTAGCACACCTTTTGCAGAAGTCTTACAATCTACCAGCACAGTGGTCGTTTCAGACTGGAAGGAAATAATTTATTGCTTCCAGAGAGACTTTTAAAATAGATCATTAACTTCCTATATGCTTGACAACACTCCAGTGTTCAAAACAAATCACAGAAGAGTATCAGTTTGTACTGTCTTTTTGCCTGAAAGCATCTGCAAACTGTGTGGCTTTTCCTCACACCCGTCCTGTGACAGTGCTGAGCTGTGATGTGCCAGGACGCGTGGTGTTCCACATGAAAGCAGTAGTGACGAGGACAGTACTAACTTAACATCTTGATGAAATGAACATCATTTGCATTAAGACTAGACATTTATTTTTGTGCAGATGAAGGATGCGTAACCATAGATCATAATTGCACTAGGAGAGCTGTGTAATCTCCCAATCCTATTTGTTCAACATTTCTCTAATGTGTGAATTAGGGTTGAGACTTTTGGCCTTACCTGCTATGCTTGTGAACTTTTACATTTTATTATCTGTTTTTATGCATATATATGTGCCGACTTTTGTTCATGAAGATGTCTTTTTTGCACATGTTATGCTTAGTAATTCTGGCCATGAAAAACTGTTGAGGCTCAGTGGAGAATGGAACCATGTAGCTTCTGGGAAACTCAGTGAGTGATTTAGAAAATCGATTATTACACTGCTATATTGTTTAATATATCATTCCATGCCTGTACCAGAATGTTACGCAATACATTGATTCTAGATCAGACATTTTCTTGTGTTTTCATTATTTTTAATATATTTTGTAATTTTTTTAAATTTTTTTTTTTTTGTGAGACCAAGAAAAGTGTATTGATGCCACTCTTTCTCTCCTGTAAGCTTGACTCACATATTTGTTGAATTTCCTATTGGATCAGTGAATCAGTCTCCTTTTTTAGGTTTTGTATTACCCTGTTGGAGATGTATCTTGAATGATATAAAGGTAAAATCACCTAGTTAGCATGAGGTTCCAGCACACAACTTTACCATGTTAGCTGTCGTTTAAAATAGGATATTATCAGGCAGGAGATCTGGACCCTCAGTCCTTCCTGGTTCCAGTATATTTCCATTTCTTGCACCTTCTCTACTTAAATATATTTATCCTGTTAGTCTTCCTGGCTATGCCTTTGTCTGGAACCATTTGATATACATATTTCCAGGGAGATAACAGAAACTTGCAGTGTTTTCATTCTTGATCATAATTCTTCCCTTACTTCTGGGAGTCCTTTATATCCTACGACATGCTAGGTGTTGAAAAAGATACTAAAATTATTATTATTATTCGACATGAGCTGGAATCTTACTTAATGCAACTTGGCAATACTGTGATGTGCTGTTATGGCTGCGCAGAAAACTCTGAATAATTCCACTTCCAGGCACTGAAATCCTTATTTGAAGCAAATTCCTATCCAAGTGGCTGTTGTTACCTGTAACCATGGAATTAGATGGAAGTATTTGGAGGAAAAGAAAGCAAAGGAGTTGGGCTAAGGATTCATTGAAGAAAACCTCAAATCCAATATGGCTGGTAGTCGTGTCAGCCTGAAATTCTGGCTTGTGACAATACCAAATGCAAGGGTCAGTTCCAAGTGGATTTTGGCTTTGAATCTTGTTAGAAGCGTGGTCAGTGCAAGAGGTACTTGAAAGAAATATCTTCATTTAATTCT